AAGGGCGCCCCCCCCCCTACATCGGTGCGCACGGGCGCGCGGACTACACGCGAGGGACATACCAAAGGGGGGCTCTAATAGGGCGCATTGAGGGGCTCACCGATAGGACACTAAGGACGTGCTCTAACAGGGCGCACTGAGGGGCTCGCCGACGGGACATTAAGGACGTGCTCTAACGGGCGCGCTAAGGGGGCATTCCGAAGGGGGCTCATCAGAGGGGCAAGGGGGCACACCGGCGGGCACTCCAAGGCCACACCGACGAGGGATTCCCAAGGACACACCGAAAGGGCACTAAGGGGCGTTCCAAAGGGGCTCGCTTAAGAGTACGCCGACGGGGCACTAAGGACGCGGTCGAGCGGGCACGTCGAGGGGCTCACGGAAGAGGCGTGCAAGGGGCCTTCCGAAGAGGCACATTCAGAACCGGCCCTTTCAAAGGGGGCACGTTGTGAACAAGGTAATCTGAAGAGGCACATTGCGATCCGGATATTCTGAAGAGGCACATTGCGATCCGGGTATTCCGAAGAGGCACATTCAGAACCGGCCCTTCCGAAGGGGGCATGTTGTGAACAAGGTAATCTGAGGAGGCACATTGCGATCCGGGTATTCTGAAGAGGCACATTGGGATCCGGGTATTCTGAAGAGGCACATTGTTGACCAAGGATTCCAAAGAGGCACTTTGCGAAGCGGGCTATACGAAGAGGTACTTTGTGAAGCGGGCTATCCGAAGAGGTACTTTGTGAAGCGGGCTATCCGAAGAGGTACTTTGTGGAACGGGCTATCCGAAGAGGTACTTTGTGAGGCGAGCTATCCGGAGAGGTACTTTGCGAACCGGGCTCTTCTGGACCGGGCCTTCCGAGGGGACACTTTGTGGGTTGGGTCATCCGAAGAGGAAAACACACGGGATTGGACCTTCGAGAGGGTTGCGTACCAGGGTTTGGTCCGGAGCTAGTGGCCAAGGACTTGAAGGAGCTACTGCACTTCACAAACCTCCACGACAAGGGACGGCTCCGTAGCAAGAAGGAATGGTCAAGGTGGATCTCGAGCTTTGGCCTCAGTGGGCACGAGACGCGACTTCAGATACTGAGAGTTCGAGCACGGTTCCTTGGGACCGCCGGGCATGGTATAGGCGACACCCAATTGGGAGGAGAATTAGACTCAGGCTGTTGACTAGATCCACTGGGACTCAGACTGACTTCCCAAAGTTAGGGGCGGATCTCACGCCTGAGGCCGGAAGCAGTGTTGCGAATCCTATAATTCTGGACTGAATGGAAACGATTGTTTTATTTCTGCCAGGACAGTGACTTGTGTACAGTTCGCGCATTTGTCTTGGGTCTATTATGGTCTATGTTTGCGTGGATGCGGACTAACGAGGTTTGTGCAGGATAGAGGAGCCCCGACCAACCCTCCCGTGGGTGACAGATGCGGCGCGAGGCATAGGGTTTGGAAGGCGTGCCGGCAGACTCCTTCTACCGGTCGACACCACGTTGTGGAAGAGGATGTGTTTTCGACCAGAGGTAGGGATCGTCCACAAAAGCAATACAAGGTCAAGTTCACTTATCAGGAACCAGAGGACGACCGCTGATTCACGAGAACCAAGCTTTTGGAGGCCGCTCCCAATATAGTCCACGCCTATGATAGAGATAGGAAAGGTAAAGGTCCTGCCTTGCGTTGAAGTATTCTCGGAGGACCTCAAATTTAGGTCGGCGGGAGGGAAACTGTTTTCACCTTTACGATAGCAGATGCAGTACCCAGGGCTCGATCCCTACACCTCCCTTTCACCCACGTACAATAGTCGCTGACCCATGTGTGTTTGAACCCGCGACCTGTGTGCTGAAAGTCGTATGTTCAGCCGTTGTATATAGTGCGGTCGCCGGGTCTTGAACTGTAGGTGCGCGGCTGAGTCAGCAAAGGGAAGTCCCAGTCCTACCTAGCCTTGTCAGCGGTACCCAGTCCCGAGGTGCACTTTGTCTAGTCAGCAAGTACCATGTGGGACTGTGCACATCCCAGGCCCAGGGTCAAAGGGCAGGCCTACGACGATCCGAAATATAAATAAAGAGGCAGCATCAAGTCATTCATTGATTCTGCCTGTGAGCCGTGCGGAAGCGCTGTCGGAGTGTCTTGTGCTACGGAGGTCTGCAGGTGCCCGAGGAAGAAGAGGGCTAAGAGGAGGAAGACGCGGCCATAGCCGCTCGTTAGTAGTAGGGAGGTAGATGGCAGCCATAGCTGCCAGTTAGGAGGGTAGCATGTGTGTTAGTGTATATACATGTGAGAGTAAGTGGGTGCGGGACATCCGGGGTGATCCAGAGTGTGTTGTGTGTGTGTGCGAACAAGTTGCTGGGTGATACAGTTGATCGGCTGGGGATCTTTGTCTGGCGCTTCGCGCCATAGCCATTTGAAGACAAGTTTGAATCTGAGTTGTGTTCCTAGCTACGTTATCTCTGAGCTTTGTTTAGGCGCTGTTGCGCCAGATGTGATCGTCACCTGTTTGCATGCATGCTGAGTGGAAGAAGACAAGTCTGATTGCACGACCCTAGATTGAGTCCCAAAGCCCTTCCACGCATGTGTCCTGGCAATATTAGGAGGCCCTTTGAATCAGGAGGGCTAAATGTCAGGCCGAGATCTTCTGTGACTATGGTAACTTTAGCCCAGTACCCAGAGACCAGACCGGACCATAGGACTGGTTCACAGTATGGTAGTACCTTTCAGCCCACCCGCCCAGGCAGCTGGACCAAGAATAATGCCCAGCCAGTGGCAGCCACACTATTTACTTGCAGGCTGGGCCAGATTTTCACACACCTCATTCTCTCACGGGAGGCCACCTGGCTGCTGTAACATTCAGTGCAGTCCTGGAGATGTAGAACAGGGGAGATGAGCAACAAGATACTGGGAGTTGGTCGATAAGGGAGAGGACACGAGGGGACTCGAGGTCTGCAGACAGACGGTCCTGAGAGAGAGGCGGTTAACGGAGACCCAGAATTTCTGCGTTCTTTTAATGCTATTTATAAGAGAACCAGAAACCCTTTTTAACCAAAAAAGCATCATTCCATAGAGTGCACACCATATTAACAAACCAATTAAAAAAAACGAAAAAAATAAATAAAAACAGGGTAAAACAGTAAGGCAAAAGTGCACTTGAATGACATTTTGGATTCAGCGAATTTTCAGAATTTTCAGCGTTTTTGGACATGGCAGTTTCCTTCTCCAGTATTTTGCACATTGACTTCAAAAGAATCCGTTGCAGCAGAGTCAGCATTAGTTCTTCATCTGCATTTGCAGCTTCTCTTCCGCAGTGTCAGTCTGCCGCTTACTGGAGAAGGAAACTGCGGATAGGATAGTGATCCCCTTTTTTCTTCCAAAAACAAATTCATTATTGCTGAAAACGTGAAAGCCACCCAAACAAACATAAGGCTTGGCAGTTGGCCTGAAAAAAACATTCCCTGCTTTGCCTGCATGACAAAAATAAAGGCATAGCAGTTATTGGTTGTGACAACATGAGAGAACAAAATGGCGCAGTTCGTTCCCGTCATCAAAAACCCAGAAAGGGGCAAACACTACATTGCCTCGCCCTAGCGCTCGAGAAGGCGTACACGTGCACACCTGAACTTCCCCCAATCATAAACCACAGTCTCCTGCTGGCCACGGAAAATTTCAGTCCCGCAGAGAGGCACTGGTGGCTTAAGACAATCAGCGGGTATCAAATTGGGGAACGGGAACAAACCCACCCAAAGTGCTATAAATCTGGCATCCAGATGATGGGAAAAGAAGAAAGAAGGGGAACCAGAGAGCAGCCAGATCTTTCCCGTTGTACAGACCTCTCACTTCCTGCCGGTTCAATGAAGCCCTGCAGAAGGCACACGTGGTTAACGGGGGACCCCCAGTTTCAGCTCCTGAGTAACAGGTCCAAAACTGAAATTAGGGTTTGGGAACTTTGGGGGTGAAATTTTATATATATATCGTCACAAACAGAACTGTCCGGTAAAACCGTAGGCAGAGAGAGAGAAGAGGACAACAAACGAGGGGCTGTGACAAACTGTTTCATCGGAGTTTCACCGACTCATCAGGAATATATATATATTTTGTTTGTTTGTTTGTTTGTTTGTTTGTTTGCCTGTTTTGTCTTACCTCAAGGTTGTTGTGAACCAAATTTGGTCTCATTTGGAGCATTGGAATTTCCTCTGATAAGACCATGTCCAAAAACGCTGAAAATTCTGAAAATTTGCTGAATCCAAAATGTCATTCAAGTGCACATTTGCCTTACTGTTTCACCCTGTTTTTATTTATTTTTTTCGTTTTTTTTAACTGATTTGTTAATATGGTGTGCACCCTATGGAATGATGCAATTTTTGGTTAAAAGGGTTTCTGTTTCTCTTATAAATAGCATTAAAAAAACGCTGAAAATTTGGGTCTCCGTTAACCACCTCTCGCAGAAGGAAGGGAGACCAGAACGGATGAAAGGAACCAGAACAGGGAAGTGAACCAATTCCTACTGCAGACCAAAATCCAAAGGGGAGAAGAACAAATGCAAAAAAGTGGCAGCAGAACGCTAGGGTTCAGGGTTTGGGAGGCCAAAAAATGGCCAGGGTTTTGGGGTCAGGCAGACTTGTTCAAGGAATCTCCAGGCAGAGCTAGAGGTTAGCGGATTGAGATGTAGACCCACAGGATAACTTAGGCAGGGGTGAGGGGTGGTACATCCTTCCCGAGGGAAGTAATCAATGCCGCCTGCTCGGGTCTCCCAGCAATAATGGGGAGAAGTGTTGGAGTGTGCATCCCATGTACATTGTTAGACTTGCCAGGGGAATAGGAATTGGACTGGCGCTCCCGAGAAGGGATATCGAGCAAGGGCCTTAAGGCCCTGTTCACGTGGAAAAACAAAAAAGAAGCAAAAAGTGGCAGGAAGGAGTGACTTCCCATGAAGAGGTGGAATGCACACATCCAGGTGTGCCGGAATGGCATTTCATTTCAAAGATAAATAAAAAGAATGGTGTCTGGTTCCTTCGTACTTGGTGCTTTCTTGCGGTGAGATAAAATGCAACTGCAACAAACACCGCCCTCCCAAAGTCTGCAGAGCCCCTTCGAGTAGCAGGAAGTGAAGCTATAAACCGTTGCTTATACCTGTCAAAACAAGGAAAGGCGTAACCAGAAGAAGAAACCAACAGACAAACCGAAGAATAGAAAGTGAGAGGATGGGAGGGTGGGAGAGTGGGAGGGAGAGTGCATGTGCAACGGGAGCACAAAGCTTGATAGACGAAAGGTGGGGAAAGATGGGAAAAGGGGTGACAAAAAGGGCGACAGGCCAAAGAAAAGAATGACATTGATTGAGACACAGATGGGGGAGAGGAGAGATGAGGAAGCGGAGAAGAAACAAAGAACAAAAGGTAAAGCAAGACCTCTTCAATCTCTCCGTGTCGCATATGAAGAAAGCTTGTAGTCCAGAGCAGATTAGTTTGAGAATCCGTTTATCTCGGATTGTTCCCCAATCTTATACAGATCTCCATGATAACTTGCTGTCAATTTGAAGTTTTTAGTCTTTTCTTTTTATCTAGACTAGATGACCCGTTGCGGCTTCGCTCGCAAAAACAGAAAACTAAAAAGCACAAAAGAAAGAAACTGCCCTATCATATGCCGCTTCTTTCACAAAAACAAAAAGAAGAGCCTGAGAGCACACAAATCCGCGTGCAAGAAATAGGAGTGAATACCACTGAACCTGTTTTGTTTCTTTATCTGCGAGTGTTTTGTTTGGGAAGCCGATACCTTTGCAGCATCCTTTTTTTTTTGTGCTGTGCAAGAACTGTGAACTTTTCTGAGAAAATCCTGTCCGTTGTCCCGTTGACGTTTTTGCTAAAGATTGCGATTCCGACTTTTGTTTGCTATGTATCTGAATATCTTTGTGATAAAGCGATCTTGCATGTATGCCCCGTGCTTACTTGTCGAGTTTTGACTCTATGTGTGCAAGTGCATGTGCGTGTGCGCGAGTCTCAGTTTGGTCGGCTCCAAAACTCTATGTGTGCAAGTGCATGTGCGTGTGGGTGAGTCTCAGTTTGGTGGGCTCCGAAGATGTCATTGACAATTGGCCCGGGGAAGTTGTTGGAAGTCGCCTCCAACTATAGGAGTGCCAGCCACTGATGTGAAGCAGGTTTCGCACTGTATGAATGAAACAATCAGCATTCAATCTGTGCTTGGCAGTTGCTCTTCGCATGGGGGACTTGTCAGGAGTAGTGTTGACATGGGAGCCATAATGCCGGGCATTCATTTTGCAACATTTCCCGGAAAGCAAAAGGCAAAGAAGAAACGAAGTAGCACGTGCTCCCCCCCTTCTCTCTCTCTCTCTCTCTCTCTCTCTCTCTCTCTCTCT